TTTCTTAATCTATTTTTCGCCTATTTCTATTCAGATAAAATTCTCTTCGTTTATCCAACGAACACGTGATTAATGAATGATTCGGATCTATTGAATATAGCAAAATTAAATCTGGCAGCAAAATCGGGCCGAGCTTGTTGACTGATCCGATATCGTCGCAACAGGGACTGACAATTGACGAAAATAGTCTGATTTACATACAAAAAAAAAAAAACAAAACCCAATAAACAAAAAGTCAAAGGTTCTGTTGAACGGCTGCGGTGTGCGGAGCGACGGCTATTTCGTACGAGACTGTGTGTGTTCGATTATAACGAGAATACACGCTCGACTTTCTTTTGCGCTCCCAGTTGCTGATGTTTCACGAGAAATCCACCTCGTTCACTCGCCCGCTTCCCGACGTCAGTACGCTCAACGGTCAGGATTAATATTTCTCGAGTGGCCGTGGGGTCGATAATACGTATCCTTGCCGCGAGTGGAAAGCTGCTTAGGCCGGTAACCGCGACCGAAAAAGCTTTTCGTGAGGGCTTTACCTCCTCGATCGCTTTCCCACGTTCCCCCGTTCGGGAGAGTCGCGGGTGCCTGTGATACTCGGGGATAAAACCGAGAGTTCCCCCTCGTTTTTGTATATTTCCTTCCTCACAGCCCTCGATACACAGCCGCAAGTTTGCCCCTCTGTTAGAGAAGTGAAAATCAATTCGCGCCTAGCCGCGCGTTATGAATCAGAAAACGGGGATCAACGCGATCTGCTGATAAGAATACGATGCGAGTCGTTTTCGCGCAACCATCGCGCGTGGTTGCCACTCGCGACGAAATACTCCGTAGGAGTGAATCCGCGTGAACACACGAAGATCCTTATATCGCCACCGTCGGCGTTGGTTCCCGTAAAACATGGCGCTGTCCAGCACGTGGAATTATACAGCATACGTGTCATTCGCCTACCACCCGCGGACAAGCATGAACGGGAAACGACGACTGGCTAGTAGAGAATTCATCATCGTCGTCGGGGCTTCTTTTAGTCACGTGGAAGTCGTGCGAATTAATTATCGTGAGTGAAGTGTAATTAATATCAGGCGGATCGGCGATTCTCTACCGGCACTCGGTGACTCGAGAATTGCGGCGCAAAACTGAACAAAGCAGACCAGTTGAATTATCGCGGCACGTTTGGTTAAGCAAGGTTTGGTGAAGGCAAACAGGCTTTCTGGTTATTATAACGAGATTTTCTGGCACACACAACCGGAACATTTAGTTGTAATACCGGTCAGAGTACGATTACTGCGTATGTGGTAATAACATCTAAGTGTCTGGTTACTTTGTAGGAAATCCGGGATCTCCGGATTCTGAGTGGTCTGTCTATATGTTACGCCACTTCTCCACAATTGATAGATCCGTTATATAGTATCTGTCTATGTTGTAGTCAGCGTTGAATACTAGAATATGTGATTCAATACCAGAAATTCTGTTTAATTTCACCAATGGTTGTTTAACCAAACGTGTAGATGACTACGCGAAAGAAGAGTATGATTGGATTAACGACTGTTGGTGAAACTATTCAGAATTTTTGGTTATTATAATCATATCACATATTCTGGTATTCGTCAGTTACAACATAAGCAGATAATATATAACAGATCTACCAAACTCGAGAATGCCGTAGCGTGTAGACTGACAACTCATAATCCAGAGATCCAGCACGGAAAAAAAGTTGGTGAAATCAAGTAAATGGCAAATTTCAAGTAAAATAATCATACATAAACCTAAAGAAAAAACTTTCAGTTTAACAGTATTAAAATTTCTAGCAAAAAATGTGAATATATTATTATTGTTGTAAGCAAGTTTGTCTGGTTTAATCAGAACATGTGTAAGCAAATTTGTCTGATTAGCAAACATAAAGTTCATTCATTTCTCACTAACCCTAATTCTGTTTAAGTTAACAAGATTTTTGGTTGACTTAAACAGACTTAAACGGGTTACATCAATCAGAATTTCTGGATAATTCATATTCGACCAGATATTTGGTTAATTCAACCAAACCACTCTTCCATGCGGGTTTTCGAATCCAACCAGAATGTGAAGGCGAGATTTTCACTTGTGTGAACTTGGCACACCATATTTCAAAATGTGCCATTTTTTTTAGAGTT